GGTCCCACTTTGGTAGGAAGGAAACAGCGCTCTTGTGTGCTGCAGTCATGCCAGCCACATAACCAAGTAAGTGTCCTCAGGCAAAGCTGTCTCCCTCGACAAAAGAACAGAGATGAGCACTGCCCCCTAGGGCCTGGAGTCTTTACCTACACCTTTACTTTATTGTAAAACTACATTAGCAGAATCTAGCAAGTCTGAACGTACAGTTCTCCCACCATCAACTTTACAGTCTGAGAAACTACTAGGCCCATTTGGAGCTTCTTACCCCATCTATTATCCAGTTGTGGGTTATATTGTCTCTTATCTGTCCATTCCCTAGGCAGCATCTTTTCCTCCTGTCTCTTGAAAAAAAGAAATGGGAAAAAAAAGCACCTTTGGGACAATAATGGCTCTGAGTGTTGTATACAAGCAGAAGTATTTCAAATCAAATATATAAAATATTTATACTCCATGCAGTATAACACACATACACACACACATCTCAAAAGTGTTCTGGATACTTATTTGACTGTTTAAAATATGGGATACCAGGTATTGTAGTTTACCTCATCAAATGGATATCAGATTGGGAGTAGAGCTCAATTAATACAGGTTGTCCTTGACTTATGACTGTTCATTTAAAACCAGTTTGAAGTTACTGAAAAATGTGATGTATAACTCATTCTCAAAGTTATGAGTGTTGTACTGCCCCCATGGTCACGTGATTGTGGTTTGGGTGCTTGGTGACTGGCTCACAGGACAATTACAGCTCCCTGTGGTCGTTGTGATTTGTGACCGTTCCAGCCAGCTTCCAACAAAGACAGTGGGGAAGTTGGGTTTGCTTAATAACTGCAGCGGTTATCTTAATGACTGCAAGAAAAGGCATAAAATTGAGAGTAGTCCTGTGACACTTGGCTTAATGATCTCAATGCTTATTGATAATTTTTTCTGGTCCCAGTTGTGGTTATAAGAGTCATGGTAGCGCAGTGGTTAGAATGCAGTATTGCATGCTAACTCTGCTCACTGCCAGAAGTTTGATCCTGACCAGCTCAAGGTTGACTCAGCCTTCCATCCTTCCGAGGTGGGTAAAATGAGGACCCAGATTGTTGGGGGCAATAGGCTGACTCTGCAATCTGCTTAGAGAGAGCTGTGAAGCACTATAAAGCAGTATATAAGTCTAAGAGCTATTGCTATAAGTTGAGGACTACCTGTGTTTTTCTTATTAGGAGAATAGTTCTAGATAGCAATGTAGACAACTTCAGTTAATTACTGCGGGCTTAAATTGTTCTGCTTTCTTTTTGTTTCTCAAGCGATGATGAAAACGGAGACTCTTCAGTCGTTGGCCCGCCCTGCCCTGCTCTGCGCCTTTCCTTTGAGAGCCAAGATGCTGGACGGACCCCCATAGAAAATGGTGGCAGTGGTCCTTCCTCCAACAGAGAAGACTGTGGAGAGACCACAACTAAAGAGGGGGGAGCTTCTGCAGAACATGGCCTGGTGGAAGGCTTTCATTTGGACAGCGATACAGATGTAGAGGATGAAAACCAAATGGATTGCATCTCTGAAGCACCTGCAAAAAGGGACAGGGGCCCAGAAGTGGACCCTGACTCTAACCTGAATGAGTCTTCAGTGGTGGCTCCAGCTTCCTGTTGTCCCCAAACCTCAATGGAGCTGGGCAGTGATACGGATGCGGAGGAGACCGTCGAAAGCCCAGCTGTCTTCAGATTGAAGCTCCCCTCTAATTCTATGGAAAAAGAAGACGTCGACACCGACGTGGAAGCAGAAGTGGAAAATCCAAGCGTTGTTTGTCCAAGAAAACATGAGCCTGTTCTCCCAAAAGAAGGTGACTGCAAACGGTTGGAAGACAATGAGGACAATGTCCAACTTGGTGGGAGAAAGGATGATGATAATACAGATGTGGAGGAAGATTTGGATAATCCAGGAAGCGGTGTGAATGCCCCGCTTCCAGCTGCGCATGAAGATGTTGACACAGATGTGGAAGACTCATCTGCCAAGGGAGAGACTCCAGGTAGCACCAACAGCCGTGGAGTTGGTAGACACAGTAATGGTGAAGATGTTGACACAGATGTGGAAGACTCATCTGCCAAGGGAGAGACTCCAGGTAGCACCAACAGCCGTGGAGTTGGTGGACACCGTGATACCAAGGAGGAAGCGATTCAACCCCGGCTGGAGAATTCAGAAGATACTTGTCCTCAGAGGTCTTATTCTTCAAGTGGTAAGGAGAGCAGCACAGGCAAGAAAAAGGTCCCCCTCAAGAGGATGGTGCCAGAGGGCCATAGTGTCGGTGAGAGACACAGTGGTGTGGTTGGGTTGACAAAAAACTCTGATGTTGAACTTGAGACGAGTTATGAAGTTGGTGACAAATCTCCTGGGGACTTCGACGAGAAGGAGCCCTCGACGAATCTTGCACAACACAACCTGCCCATACTCTTTCTAGGTAGTGATACAGATGAGGAAGAGGAGGCAGGTAATCCAGATGTGGAATCCAAGAGGCAGCAAGTCTCCGGCGGAGAGTCCAGCAAAGGAAGCAGAGCGAGCCGTTTGCGGGATCCAGATATTGGATCTCAGGGGAAACCTTCATCTGTACAAGACAAGGGCAGCGATACGGATGCTGAAGGGACATCCATGGGTCGCGATAAATCCACGGCTCAAGACAGTGATACAGACACAGAAGACGTTGCTGCATCTTCACTAAGAAAACCCCTAGAAAAGAAAAGCTCTCGGTTAATCATCCCAGTGACGTCTGAGGCGGAAGGAGAGAAGTTGGCTTCTTCTGCCGTGGGAATTGGAGTGTCCTTCAAATCTCGTGAAGACAATGAAGACACAGATGCAGAGGGAGGGGAATCCTATTCAGCAGACGAGAGCAGCACCGATGGTAAGGAGAAGGGAAGGAAAGAGAGAAGCAAATTTCAAGTATTGTTGTCCCCATATGTCTATGGAGATTACCAATCACGCAGGTCATGGTTCTCCCAAAGGTGTTTTTTCCAAAAGGCAACTGGACGTTCTTGGGTTTGTTTGTTTTTCTGTTTGACTTCTCATTTGGGAAGCTTCTCCAGTTTTTGGCAAGGCAGGGCAAAGCCAAGGCAGTTCTGGCAAGCTAGTCCCGAAGAAGCTTCTTGGGTTGCTTCAATTGAGGTCATAACTTGAGGACTACCTGTAGTTAGGAAGGCAGATGTGCACATTATAAAATAATCGTATGTTAATGCATTAATAGTAACATGTCACCATCTTTTGATGTTAAAAAAATAACAAATTACGTAATCTGAATTCAGATTATGCAATGAGTTCTTTCGGGATTTAAAGTTAACAAGAAAAAGAGGGAAAAGGAAAGGAAAAATATTTGGAAATGTATACTGTGCACGAAACAACTTCAGAAAAATATGCCCAGATCATTCCCTCTGTTAAACAGAGTTTCTCATTCAAAGATTGGCAGGTTCTAGAGATATTTTTTGAGACATTTCATTGTTCAATTGCTTGTTTTCTGCTACTGTCTGGTATGTAGGAAATGCTGTTTGGACTATTTATCCATCTTTACTCAAGACTAAGCACAAGATGTACACGGTGCATTTCTTTCTACCGTTTCTCTTCTTTCAGATGAGCTTGATGTGTCCTTGCAAGCGACACAGTGTTACCTGCCAACTGAAACCACACCCCCTGGACTTGAAAAAGCTGGAGGTATCGCAGCTACAGGTGTGTCCTTGCAAGCGACACAGTGTTACCTGCCAACTGAAACCACACCCCCTGGACTTGAAAAAGCTGGAGATACCACAGATACAGGTAAGAAACATTGCTGTACTTCTGGATCATCAGGAAGAGAAGAGACCTGGTGGCATAAAAGCCAAGAAGCTTGGTTCTTGGCTTCGGTGCCAGAAGAACTGATTAGGGCATGATGGGAGCTGTAGTTTAAGGCCCTGTGCAGATCATAGTCTGTTTATGTAGGATTTGTGATCCCAAAGCAAAACCTCATCTTGTATCAGTGGAACAAAATGGACAATAATCATAGTGGTGATCCATGGTGGTTGTGAACATGCCATCAATGACAAATAGAAGATTAAAAGGAGAAAGTACATAGGGAGAAGTTTAAACGTCTGGAAATGGGTTGAGGATGAGAGAAATGGGTAACCTGTTGTGATGGCTCCAGGACTCCCTCTGGATTTTTGATAGACATGGATTCATAGTGGAAAAGAGTTACCATGTTTTCCTGAAAATAAGACCCTGTCTTATTTTTATTTATTTCTTTTGGCCACCAAAAAAGGCACAGGTCTTATTTTCGGGGGACGTCATCCATTGACTAACCTCACTTGCACGTGTCGCCTCCGGCCTCCCTTTCGCTGTCAAAGGCCTTCAGGAATTTTTTCTTCTGCGGCTGGCAAGGCTTTCCTGAAGGCCTCTGCAGCGGATAACAGAGCTCTGGATCGTTCCGAAGCTTTGTTATCCGCTACAGAGGCCTTCAGGAAAGCCTTGCCAGCCTTGTTGGCTGCAGAAGAAACGGGCTGGCAAGGCAGGGGTTGGGGTGTGCGACGCCTGGCTACAACTGTCCAAAGATTAGTAGTAGGGCAGCTATACACACACACACATACCCATCCACACCTTAGCTTAATTTTTACCCGTGCACTCTGAAGTGGGCAGGATCTTAATTAGGGCTTATTTTGGGGTGTATTGGGTGCATGTGTCAAAATCAAGTTAGGACTTACTTTCAGGGTAGGTCATATTTTTGGGGAAACAGGGTATTAGGCCCCTAGTTAAGGATTTTATACTGACTTTAAGTCAGTTATGGAGGGGAAACTATATATCAGCCTAGCTCTGACCCTGCCTTCATTCATCAAGGCTCTACCTAAATGGTGCTTTCCCCAAAGGTCCATTTTCAGGAGGCAATTGGACTTTATTTTTCTTTGAAAGACATTTCGCTTCTCATCCTCGTCTTCAAAGAAAAAACAAGGAAGTCCAGTTGCCTCCTGAAAGAGCACCTTTGGGACAACCATGACCTGGATGACTGAGAATCTCTACAGACTTTCCTAAATGGTAGTCTACGAACAAACATTGAGATATAATAAAGGAGAATATTCGTAGCTCAGGGTTGACATGAGGGGTCCCCGGTGCTCTTCATAGCTTGCTTGTTTTCTTGCAGATATTTCATTACCCAAACTAGGTAACATCATTAATGCTGGTCTAGGCATTCGTGCAGGAAGAAAAGTTGTGCCTGCAGGAAGTTTTTCCTCATTTGTGCGCTGTCTGAAGTGTTTGATGCCCATACGTGGCATTAATAAAAGACAATATTTGTAGCTCAGGGTTTATATGACGGTTCTTGGTGCTCTCTTTTTTAAAAAAAAAATATTTAACATTTATGCAATTAAAAACAAATATACATATATATATATATTCGTAGATTTTCACGGGTACAGGTATATGGGTCTAGGTGTGTTCAGGTCTTTTCCCGTGTAAGATTAAGAGTATTTTGGTGATGTTTCGGCGAGGTCCCACTCGCCATCCTCAGGCTGGTGCTTTCGGCTTGGTGCCAGTGCAAGCAGTGTGTGATCGGAGCTTCCGTCTCTCTATAAATACTGGTGGTGGGGGCTGGTGTGTTGGGCTGGTTGGCTGCGCTGCTGCCTCTTGATTGGTTGATGGAGTTGATGTTGGTATAATGGGCTGTGTGATGGCCTTGTGAGTTTTGTTGTAGAGAGATCCTGCATCTTGTGCTGTAATCTCTTGGGTTGTTTGTTTTGTAGTGATCTTTTTTCCATTATTCTCTCGTGTTTTAACGGCTTGGGTAATGGGTTGTTTGATGGGTATATATATATATATATATTTGTTTTCTTAAGTTTTTGCAGGTATTTATATGTATGGTATTCAGCTTTGTTCGGGTATTTTCCCACATCATTATAGTTGTGCTTTTAAAGTTGTAGCAACGTTTCGGCAGAATCTCATCTGCCATCATCAGGCTTCTGTATTGTGTTTGTCTGTGAGTCAGACTTTCACAGCCATTTCAGTTTTAAATTTGGTTGGCCTGTGTTTCTGCTCATATGACCAGATCCAGTTTCATGACTCTTATTTTCTAGCGGTCATTAATTCAATGCCACAGTCATTACGTGAACATGGTGATCATTAATACAATTAATACAAATACTGTAGAACAACTTGCCTTCAGAAATTGTGGGTGCTTCATCACTGGAGGTTTTTAAGAAGAGATCGGAGAACCACATGTCTCAGGTGGTATATAGCAGGGGCCTTCAAACTTGACAGTTTTAAGACTTGTGGATGTCAACTCCCAGAATTCCTCCTCCAGTCATGTTAGCTCAGGAATTCTGAGAATCGAAGTCCACAAGTCTTAAACTTGCCAGGTTTGAAGGCCCTTGATATACAGAGTGTCCTGCATGAGTGAGCAGGGGTTTGGACCACAAGATCTCCAAGTTCCCTTCCAAGGTCTATTCTGATTGATTGAAATTGTAGCTGGGTTGCTTCTAATAGACAGGGAGGGAAATGATTGCAACTTGGTACGATAAACACGAAGATCTATCAGCTTCAAGGTTTCCTTCACTCGATTCTCCTTCTAAATAAATATATAGACTCTGGTCCCCCATAGTTTCAGCAAGGATTGCTCCTGGCCAGTTTCCAGTCTTTTGAGCTGCTTTCCACCCAAAATGCACATAGGCCTACATTAATTTGTGTTGACTGCCACAATCACTTAAAGACTACTGTGGCATTGGGTTGATGACCACTGCAAAATAAAGTCATAAAATCAGTTCTGGTCATGTGGTGCTTTGCCTTATGACCATCATGACTTACCGTGGAAATTCTAGATTCCCTTACATTGGAGATCAAGGCAGTGGTGGCCCAGGAAGGACATTAGAGCAGGGAAGTCCTGCTTAGTCTTAAGAGCAAATGAAGACAATATGTCTCTACTCATTGTCCTCCTAGTAACCAGCTCACCTTTGAAAGACAACACCTCTGACCAAGAAGACGACATGCTGGAAGCTACCCAGCCATACTGTGAGGCGTCTGAGCAAGTCTCAGCAGAGCCCCGTGAGGCCTTGGCTGGCAAAGAGAAGGCGGACCCAGAACGGCTTATCCAGAACCAACCCGAAGGGGACAAATGTTTTGAGCAGGCGCCTCAGCCTGACCTCCCAGCTGCAGCCTCTCTAGGAGAAGAAACCACCTCCAGTCTTCCAGGAGACAACCCTCTGCCTCAGGTGGTGGAGTTTCCCTCTCTGCAGTCCTCCTTGCAGACACCAGAGGGCGCCCCTGAAGAGGAAGCTCAAATCCCCCTTGTGGTCAGCAAGGGGTCCTTGACTTCACAGGAAAAGAAAAGGGTGGAGGTCCCGAGACAGAGTGAGGCAAGTGAGTGGCAGCATGTGAAAAATTGTCATAAAGGGAATGAATGGATGATGGTTCTCACTGCTGCAATGCGTCATGGAGGCTGCAATGCATATGGGGGAATCTTTGTTGAGCTTGTTTTATTTCTTTCTTTACTTACTTAATTACAAATACTTATAGTTTGGCTCCGAAAAAAGGAGTCCCTGCGGATTTTACTTTGTTAATCGTTGCCAACTATAGTGGGCAGTGCTCATCTCTTGTTTCAATGCCATTGAGCCATTACTATCTGAAGACATTCCCATGGTCATGTGGCCAGCATGACACCACGGAGCGCTGTTACCTTCCCACCAAAGGGGTACCTATTTATCTACTTGCATTTTGTATGCTTTCAAACTGTTAGGCTGGCCAGAGATGGGGAGAGGAAAGGAACTCACCCCTTTGCATGGAGCTTGGATCTCGAACCAGGGCTGCTGGCTTTCCAGCCTACAAGCCTAACATCTTTTTATGTCTTTATTTTTTTTTTGGCAGCAGTAGCAATAGCAACAGCACTTAGACTTATATATACCGCTTCACAGTGCTTTACAGCCCTCTCTAAGCAGTTTACAGAGTCAGCCTATTCCCCCCACTAATCTGGGTCCTCATTTTACCCACCTCAGAAGGATGGAAGGCTGAGTCAGCCTTGAGCCTGGTGAGATTTTTAACTGCCAAATTGCAGGCACCGGCAGTCGGCAGAAGAAGCCTGCAGTACTGCACTCTAACCAATATGCCACTGAGGCTCAGTAGACAGTAAGCAAAGGGCCACAGAGAATGCCACAGTTGTTAAGTGAAAGGATCTGGTTGTTAAGTGAATCCATTGTTTGCTATGGGACGGAAACTGGAAAAAAAAACCATTGTAAATGCAGGCTGGTTGCTGGCCGCTCAAAATGGAGTCATGTGATGGAGGGGCATCACAACTTCAGCACCTTATAAATAGTTTTTTTTGGGGGGGGGTCCATTGTAACTTTGAACAGTTGCTAAGCAACCAGTCATAAACCAGTTATTTGTATATAGGCAAAAACCTCTGGGAGGAAGCCAGGATTATAGTATATTGGTGCGGACTAGAGTTCTATTTCCCATTGGTTTATGTGAGGTGGGGAGCACAGGGCCTGCATTATAGTAAGTCCGTATTTCTGCTCTGCCCCCTGGTGGCAAAATATTGGTGTTTTTCAATCCAGGCTGTTTCATCCTTTGGCTTTTTCTAGCTCCTGTGGATGACCGGGTGGCAGAAAACTCGGAATTAGTAAGAAAAATAAAGAAACCTAAGAAGGTAAGCATCAGATTCGCCTTTACTTATTTAACACCCTGTCTTTATTATTTTTTATAAATAATAAATATTACATATAAAAAATATAAAACATACATTATGTTAAATATAAATAATAGTTATTGGTTATTATATGATAATTTTCATCCATCATTGACATCTAACAAGTTGTGGGCTGTCCATGGTGTGTCTGCATTATATATCAGGGGTGTCAAACTCGAAGGCCCACAGGCCAAATCCAGCCCGCAAGGTGCTTAAATCCGACCCACGGGGCCAGCCTGGAAGTAGCAAAGTACCAGCCTGCAGTATCTCTGGCAGCCAAAATGGGGCACAGGAGGGCCGCGCCCCATTTTTGGCCTGGACCCCTCGCCCAGTGCCCCATTTTGGCCGGCAGGATACTGCAGGAGGCATCCCCCTCTGACTGGCCCACGAAGGAGAACTACAATGCTGATTCGGCCCTCGAAGAAATCCAGTTTGACACTCCTATATGTATAATACATACATACATACATACATACATACATACATACATACATACATACATATTTGTATATATCAGCAAGTATTGTGGTCCCACTTGGCAAAAGAAAGCTCAGGATTGTACTGGTTGGAAATATGCAGAAGAGGCCTTCATCTTACAGTGGATAGACAAAATGATAACGATAACGATAATAAATATATACATTTATTATAGATAATTACAAATGAGTTATTTTATAAATACCACAAGGCAGTGAACGTACCTAATACGCCTCCCTTTTCCTCTTTTCCCCACAACAACAACCACCATCTTGAGAGGTGGGTTGGACTGAGGGTGACTGGCATCCTTCATGAACCAAGGACTGATTTGGGGGAAGCTAACCTTCGCGTTTTTCTTAATCTCATGGGGTAGAATAAGATAACTGTGATATGAGAACTCAGCAAACTGGCTTGTGCAGGCCCACCCCACCACCACCTGGTTAACCGAATCATGGTTTGGTATGATGCCTGAGCTCCATTTGATACCCTTAGGTGTTGGTGCCAACCCAGGAGGATCCAGCTTCAGCAACGCCCCCTGCCCGTGAGCTGCGGCGCCGTCTGCGATCTTCAACCGCTTCCGCTTCACCCACCCCTGTCCCAGAAAGACGAAGCCTCCGCTCTCACGGGTCTGGGGCCGTGGTGGCATCCAGCACCCCGGCTGCCCCAGAGACCAGGTGTAGGCAGCTCAGCAACACAAGTCAGCGAGCGAGGGGGGTAAAGGAGAGCCCAGAAGAGCCCGGAGAAGAGGTGCCCAGGAAGAAGGCCAGGAGTGGAGACCCCACCGCTGCTCCCATCCCTCAAGGTCGAACGAGGGGCTCCCAGAAGGAATCCAGGGCTGCCAGCAAAGTTACAGAAGTAGCAAAAGCCATCTCTGGCAGCCCTGGGCCCAGGGAGCCCACAAAACGGGCCAGGAAGGCTCCTGCTCCTGGGCTAGAAGGGCAGGCGGAGCGCCGAAACACTCGGGCCAGCAAGCACTCCAGTAGCAGCGCTTCCGTGAGCACCCCAAGCCCAAAGGATTCTGGGAAAGGTGCCAAGCCTGGGCAGGTGGGTATCCAAGCAAAAGAAGGAGAAGCTGCCCTAGGAAAGCTTTCTCCCCTTTCAGGGCAATGGACCCTTAATTGAATCATAAGAAGGACCATGTCCCTCTCTAGGTCTCATATATCTACAGCTGCTTAGACTGGTGGATGCTGCTGCTCTGTCATACTTTTTCCATTCAAGCTAGGCCCTTGACAGACCTAGCGGGGTCATGCTGGCCAATCATCTTAAATGGGAGGGTCTCCAAAGTTCCATGAACCAATGGGGAGCATCTGTCCCCAACCTGCCTGCCTTCCCTGATGGTTTGTGACCGCGGCTCCCACAATTCCCAGCTGATGCACCCCTTTTGATATAATGAGCACAGGTGGTCCTCTATTTATGACCACGGCAGCTCAAAATTTCTGTTGCTAACAGAAAAGTTAAGTTTTGCCCCATTTTGCGACTTTTCTTGCCACGGTTGTTAATTCTGTCACGGCGGTTATTAAGTTGGTAACACGGCTGTTAAGCGAATCTGACTTCTCTGTTAATCAGAAGGTCGCAGAAAAGGGGATCAGGACACTGCAACCATCCTAAATAAGAGTCAGCAGCCAAGCCTCTGAACTGATCCTGGGGGATGGGTCAACGGTCGTTAAGTTGTGAAAAATGGTCACTTTTTTCAGTGTCACTGTAATTTCAGTCACTAAACGAATTGCTGTAAGGTGAGAGCTTCCTGTACATAGCTGCATTAAGCTGAGTCTGGAAAATCGGCAAGCTGGCAGGTCTATGTTAAAATACCTGTTGGTAAAAATGGATTCCAGAAGTCCGGGAGTGAATCCAGTCTGGTTAGTCTTGGTTTTGTGAAGCCAACAAACTTGGGGGTGTTAAGGTTCCGGCAGTTACCCTCATTTAAATCATGAGTCTCGACCCAGACTTCCAAAACTTAAAAAGGACTTATGGGGAGTTAAAATGTCTGGCACTGCCTGGATGTAGCCGACTCTGAGACACCTCATTCATTGTCACCCTTGATCCTGGTTTTCCCCCACCCCCTGGGTGTATCATAATTCATATTCTCCAATGGGACACATCCATAGCCAGAGACATCAATCGTACTCTCCAGGTAGAATTTTGTGCGGCAGAAACTTCAGTCACCTAGTTACTATCTTTGAAAACATTTATGGAATGCACTTTCAGTTTGCAAGCTGCCGCACTGCTTCCCCCTCCCTTTCTGTTGACAATTCTAAAAAGACCATAGAAATATTTTATGAGTTCACATGGGATTGTTGAGCAAGGCCATCTGTCATTGGATTGTGCGACTGCTCAGGCCTCCATACAGGAAGTGAGAGGTGTACTTGGCCAGAGGTTGTGGTGCTCTTTCACCAAGTCTTCATACAATGGGGGGCCGGTGGGCTTTTCCCTTCCTTGTCTTTGCCAGGAATCCGTCTTCACTCCGTCTTCAGGAAGGAGGTTGCGGTGTCACAGCCCAGAGAGCAAAGCAACAAGTCCAAAGGCTTCATCGTACAGTCACACCCGGCGCGCCACTGGACCTGGCAGCCCTGCCCCCAAGGTATGGTGTTGGTGTATTATTTTTATTGATTGATTGATTAGCCCTTGGGCCATATCGAAGTGCAGAGTTCCAGAAACAAACTATCACTGAAATTTGACAAAAGCAATTTAAAATGGAATTGGATAAAAGACAATTTAAAATGAAATGGGAATAAAATACGATTTAAAATGAAATGGGAATAAAATACCATTTAAAATAAAATGGGAATAAAATACGATTTAAAATGAAATGGGAATAAAATACCATTTAAAATGAAATGGGAATAAAATACAATCTAAAGATGAAAATGGAATGAAATACAATAATTTAAGATACGGATAAAATATGATAAAATTGTATTTCGGTGTCACCCCCTACAATCTACCCCAATCAGCCCCACATATGCAGATCTCAACCGAACCATTTTGCTTAAGTGCTGTGCTATACTGTGCACATGAGGATAGCAGGAGAAGATTAGAGGCTGGACAAGGGAAGATGGCTTCCCTTGAGCTGTGTTGGCTCCATCGTTACCATGAAAGTTTTGTCTGATCTCTCCCCCTCCCTTTCTCTTTTCAGGTGCTGTTTACAGGTGTGATTGATGAGGAAGGAGAGCGTGTAGTGGCCGAGTTGGGGGGTTCTCTGGCAGAATCCGTCTTTGACTGCACTCACCTTGTGACGGACCGCGTACGTCGCACCGTCAAGTTTTTGTGTGCCCTGGCTCGGGGAATCCCCATTGTGACGCTCGATTGGCTGGAGAAGGTAATCCGCTTTTCTAATACCCAGAATTACGGTCGTATGTCGTGCCAGTCGTTCATCGAAATGGCACTTAGGCTTCACAGTGTTTTGCAACGCTCCCTTAAGCGGTTTACAATGTCAGCATGTTGCCCCCAACAATCTTAAGACCTCATTTTACCGACCTAGGAAAGAGGGAAAGCCGAGGCAACCTTGATCCAGTCAGGATCGAACTCCAGACTGTGGGCAGAGTTTGCCTCCAATTTTGCAGTCTAACCACTGTGCCACCAGGGCTATACCACAGGTCTCTGCCCGATTTTACTGCCCTTTTTTTTGTGACTGTTGTTTAAGAAGATGTGGCAGTCATAAAGCGAACACTGCAGTTGTTAAATGAATTCTTTGTCCACAATGAGCATTTTTTTTTTTTTGCTAGCAACTGGAAGTAAATTCTGATTTCCAGCAAAAAAAAACATTGTACATTGTGGACATTTGTGATTGCGGGATGTTAAAAATGGCTGAAGTACAGGCTGGTTGCAGGGTGCCCGAAATGCAGTCATATGACTGCAGGGTAGAGCAGCTGTTGGAACTTGAAGCTATTGGGATCTGGGTCGTAAGTAGCCCTGGGAGTCTGTTGTAACTTCAGTTACTAAATGACTAGTTGTAAGCCAAGGATTACCTACACTTTTCCACTATTTTTTTTTTAATCGATGCAATCCAAACTCCAACTTAATGCCCTGCAAGGCAACTGCAGGTAGATTTCTGTGAGAAATAAATTGAATCAAAGATTGGTCTCTGCAAGTCCCAGAGAGGATTCACGATGCTTCTCTGCATGTTCTCTTGCTCTGGCTCTGTTTCTACCCATCCTGCTTCGGCTGAGGCCAAGGAATTGCTTTCACACATGTTATTTTTCCTGATACATATGCACCCGCCTTTTGGAGGAGTCTCCCTAAGGCGACGTAGCAGCATAAATAGGTGTTTCTGGGGGTGATTCCTAGAACAGAGGAGACATTTGTGCTGTTGGAGGTCTTTCAGAACAGTGACTCATGCAAGAGCACAAGGAGGACACTTCCCTGAAGATGAGCCATTTTATCTTTTTTAAGCACAAGAGTGCTTCTGAGTTGAATTCGTTGTGTGTCGAGTTGAATTTGCTTTGTGATGGAATGTATCCCTTAAGGCAGGGGTGTCAAACTCGCAGCCCGCAGGACGGATGTGTCATGCGCTGGCCACTCCCATACCCGGTTTAGCAAAAGGGGAGAAAGTCACAATACATCCAGAGGTGGTATTCAACCGGTTCGCACCGGTTCACGCGAACCGGTAGTGATTTGGTGTGGGTCGCTGAACCGGTGGCGACCCCTGGCTGGCCACGTCCCTGACCCGGTCGCCCGGTTGCTCACTTGCCTCGGTCGCTCTCCTAGCTTTCCCTACCATGTGGCGGTCGTGGCGCAGCTCGGGCGGATGTCTCGGGACTGCTGCACATGCGCACTGCCTGTGTAGCAGCCCTGGGACATCCGCCCGCCCGCCTGCCCTCCTGGAGCACGTTTTCTTCCTTCTCCCAGCAGACACGCCTCTTCTGGCCTGGCCCGGCCCAGCCCAGTCAGCAGGTGGGTGAGCGGATATGCCGGGGGTCCTCGCCCTCCTTGTTGCGAGATGCCTGCAGCTGCTGTGTGCCGGGCCCAACACGTCCGAGCAGCTGGCACATAGAACAGGGCAGCACCGGACTGTTGGAGAAGCAGAGCGAAGCTGGGGATCAGTAGCTGCCTCTTTTGCAGCACAGAAATCTTCCCCGAATCGGCTGGCTGGTCCTTCTCCGCCTGTTTGTTTTGTATGGCCGAGGAAGAGGAGATCAGCTGGCCAAAAGGGCGGCTGTTGGAGGTGACTCCTTTTCGGTCTCCAGTCGCCTTTTCAGCACCGAAATCCTCCCTGAATCGGCCAGCTGGTCTCCTCCTCCTTGGCTATACAAAACAAGAGAAAGAGAAGACTAGCCGGCAGATTTCTTCCTTTCGTCCCCCTGGACCGCTGCCACCCGCGTCCTCCACCACCCAGGAGGAAAGGAAGAAAGGCATGGGTGCAGCATGCTTTGGGATCCCAGCTGCCTCATGTAGGAGCGCCCGTTGCAGCAGTGCCTCCTCCACCCTTTCGGCCAGGTGTGTGTGTGTGTGTGAGAGAGAGAGAGAGAGAGTAAGAAAGAAAGAGGGAGAGAAAGAAAGAGCAAGAAAGAAAGAAATAGAGAAAGAAAGGAAAAAGGAGAAAAAAGAAAGGAGAAAGGGAGGGGAGAGAGAAAAAACTATGTGCTATTGCTTTTAATTGACAAGAAATGGCTGGGAGGGGAGGGGCCAGGCAAGGCACGCCTTTGATGTGAGTGACATTGAGTCACCCAGTCACATGGCCACCAGACACTCCCACCAGTCACATGACCAAGCCATGCCCACCACAGTCGCATGACTACCAAACCACGTCCACCAAATAAGCCATGCCCACAGAACTGGTAGTTAAAAAAAATAGAATCCCACCACACGACTATGCCGTGACGATGCGAGTTTGACACCCCTGCCTTGAGAGAAGGGATAGTTCGGTGGAAGTGTGCTAGCTTTGCATCCAGCTACTTCCAAAGATCCTCCAATAGAGAAATCTGGGAGCCTCTGACAGCTAAGAGCTCAACACTAGGACTGCGGACATGGACCTATTGATCAAGGCCATGATGGCGAACCTATGGCACGCGTGCCACAGGTGACACACAGAGCCATTTGTGCAGGCCAGCAAGCCCCAGCCAAACTTAACCTGCACTGGGCACGTGCATGCCTCCCAGCTGATTTTCGGTCCGTTTGAGGCTGTTTTCGCCCTCCCGGAGGTTTGAGGGAAACCTCTGCAGCCCCGGGAGGCCACAAAACAGGCCTTCCGGAAATACCAGAAGTTCCAAAACGAGCCTGCTTTTTGGCCTCCAAAGGCTTCCCTTGAGCCCCCAGGAGGGTGAAAACGGCCTCCCCCAGGCTCCAGAGGCCCCCCCTGGAGGCTGAAAATGGGCAGTTCCAGTATTTCCAGAAGGCCCATTTTTCGGCCTCCTGAGGCTGCAGAGGCTTTTCTCAAGCTTCTGGGATAGTGAAAATGGCCTCAAATGGGCCGAAAATCAGCTGGGAGACACATGTATGCGCAGTGCAGGTAAGTGGGCAGGGGTGTTGCACGCGCATTGCATTGTGTGTGCTGGCGCGCGCAAGCTTTTGGCACACCAAAACAAAAAGGTTCGCCATCACTGGATTAAGGGAATCCAGGTCTTTGGGATGCAGTTTGAAAGGTTTTTTTGGTGTGTGTGGAATGCATAGAAATGCATCTGCTGGCCATTGATTAAAACTACTGCATCCGTATGCAAATACAGCATCCACCAGCAATTCATTAGAATTGCATCTGCGTCAAAATGCAGCAGTATCTGCCCACAACTCCTTCAAAACTCCTTCAAGCGTGCCAGGCGCATGTGGCTACCGAAGGGCGATGTGCTGGAAAATCACGAGCCTATGCAGAGGCGCGGCTGCTTTAATGAGCCTCCCCAGCGTGGCAGTGTGAAGTGCCTCTTCTGCGGCCCTCCCAACGTGTAGCATTGTGTAAATGGTGCGATTTGATGGCTCCGGGTATGAGGTAAACTGCTTCCTGGGGGGAAAGGAAGAACTTCCTGCGTGTGTGGTTGATCTTCCTTTTATTCCTTGCTTCTGCCCCACAGAGTAGACGGAATGCTTTTTTTCTGGCACCAAACAACTTTCTCGTTCGGGACCCTGAGCAGGAGAAGAATTTGCGCTTCAGCCTCTTCGCCTCACTGCAGAAAGTGCAGCAGAAGGGACCCCTGTTTCAGGTGAGCCCAGCGTTTGCGGTCTTAGTGGGCCCAGGTGATTCCTCAAGAATCCAGTATCCAGACTACCATGAGGGAGAGTTACCCTCCGCTCCCTCCTAGTTTCCCTCCCCTCTGGTGCTGAAAAGGTCCAGGTGCAAAAAAAAAAGGCCCATCCCTGTTTGAATTTCCGAATTCTAAACTAGGGGTGGGGAATGATGGCCCTTTTATGACTGGTGGACTTCAGCTCCCAGAATTCCTCAGGTTCAGGAATTCTGGGAGTTGAAGTCCGCCAAGTCATAAAAGGGCCATCATTCTCCACCTCTGTTCTAAATCAATTTCTCCCCAATTTAGTGGCCTCCAGGCCCAGGAAACAACAGCTCCATAATCACAAGTCCACACTCCTCCGCCAACCATGAACAGGGTATTTGAAGATTGTGGGGGATGTGATTTTGAGTCAACACACCTGTAAAAGGGAAGGAAACCAGGCTGTGTGAAAGCTGCAGATTTGGCCTTAGACCCATCAGCTGCCAGCCTGCTGTGATATGATGTCCCTTTCCCATTTTTTGCCCACATTCCTAACAAATGTGTCCTTGTTTTATGACTGTAACTGAGACCAGAATTACAGGTGTAAGTCATTGTGGTTGTTAAGTGGCTTATACATGATTATACCACTCTATAAAGTCTTAGTAAGACCACACCTAGAGTACTGCATCCAGTTTTGTTCACATTATAAAAAAGAAGTTGAGACTGTAGAAAAAATACAGAAGAGCAACCAGGATGATTAGGAGACTGGAGACTAAAACATATGAAGAACTGTTACAGGAACTGGGCTTGGCTAGTCTAGGGAAGAGAAGAACCAGGGGAGACATGATAGCGGTCTTCCAATATTTGAGGGGCTGCTACAGGGAGGAAGGGGTCAAGCTATTTTCTAAGGTGCCTGTAGGCCAGACAAGGAATAATGGATGGAAACTGAACAAGGAGAGATTTAACCTGGAAACAAGAAGAAACTTTCTGACAATGAGAGCTATCAACCAATGGAACAGCTTTCCCTCGGAAGACCTTCAAGAAGAGACCTTCAAGAAGAGATTGGACTGCCATTTGTCAGAAATGGTGTAGGGTCTCCCGCTTGGGCGAGGGGTTGGACTAGATGACCTACAAGGTCCCTTCCAACTCTGATTATCTATTATCTGTTATGACCATACTTGATTGTATATTGTGGCAGTTGCTAAGCCAATGCCACCAAGCATGGTGATTGTTAAGCCAAGGCAGTGATCATTAAGCAAATCCAATTTATCCAACTTTTTTTTTTGCTGGAAAACATCAAAACAAACAAAAGGACATAAGTTTTGATCACGTGACTGCAAGACGCTGCAAATGGCCCCAGCTCCCAAAATATGACCACCAAAGATAAAGGTTTTGTGGCCATCAGAACTTCAAAATCGGGTCATTAAGCCCCTTTGGGGAGGTGGGTGTCTTGTAACTTCAAATGGGCACTGTGACTGGTCATTAAGTGAGGACCACTTGTAGTAGTTACCTCAGAGTTTCTTTCTTTCCAGGGCTACGAGATTCATGTCACTCCTAACGTGAAGCCAGAACCGGAATACATGAAAGACATTATTAAATGCAGCGGTGGAACCGTATTAGCAAGAATGCCGCGGGCCTTTAAGGTGAGTCGGAGTTGCTGATTTGTGGTTTATTACTACACCTTGTTATAAGTTAGGCTGAGAGAGGGTGGCTGGCCTAGAGTCAAGCAGGAAACTTCCATGGCTGAGGAGGAATGCAACCTGGGTCTCCCCACTCCTGGTCCAACCCCTTCACGGTGACCCTGGTTTACTTAATTCCAGGTCATCCTCAACTTATGCCCACAATTGAACCCAATATTTCTATCTCTAAGGGAGACGGTTGTTAAGAGAGTTTTTCCCCCAAACCCTTTATGACCTTCCTTGCCAGAGTGATTTACGAAGTAAATCACTGCAGTTAAGAATAGAATTCTTTATTGGCCAAGTGTGATTGGACACACAAGGAACTTGTCTTGGTGCAAATGCTTTCAGTGTACATAAAAGATACATTCCTCAAGAATCATCAGGTACCACACTAAATAGTCATAGGGTACAATAAGCAATCAAATCATACTAGGATACAGTCCATATAATGGGTGATAAGGAGTGATGAAATTAATAGTAATAGTAGTGCAGACTTTGTAAATAGTTGGACAGTGTTGAGGGAATTATTTGTTTAGCAGAGTGATGGGTGTTTGGGAAAAAACTGTCCTTGTGTCTAGTTGTCCTGGTGTGCAGTGCTCTATAGCGTCGTTTTGAGGGAAGGTGTTGAAACAGTTTATGTCCGGGATGTGAGGGGGTCTCTAAATATTTTCACAGCCCTCTTTTTGACTCGTGCAGTATACAGGTCCTTGATGGAAGACAGGTTGATAGGAATTGTTTTTTCTGCAGTCCTAATTACTCTCTGAAGCCTGTGTCTGTCCTGTTGGGTTGCAGAATCAAATCAGAGTTACAGAGGTGCAGATGACAGACTCAATAATTCCTCTGTAGAACTGGATCGTAAGTTAGTTAACACGGTGAAGTGAACATGGCTTCCCCAATTGACTGCTTATTAGAAGGTGTGACTCCGGAACACTATCACCATTATAAATATGAGGCACTTCCCAAGCATTTAAATTTTGATGCCATGAGTTGCTGACACAGTAGTGTGAAAAAAAGATCACAAGTAACACTTTTTACAGTGCCGCCGTGACTTTGAGCAGTCACTAACTGAATTGTTGTTAGTCGAGGACTACCCCTATCCTAGTTTTCCAGCAGGCAGGCAAATGGAGATGTATTGGGGCTAGAGGTGGTATTCAGTAGGTTCTGACCAGTTCTGGAGAACCGGTAGTGGCAATTTTGAGTAGTTCGGAGAACCCGCATATCCCACCTCTGACTGGTTCTGCCCCCATCTAATTCTCTACCTCTTGAGTCCCAGCTGATCAGCTGGGTCGGTTTTGGTTGCCCTGCACAGGAGAACGGAGCTGGAAAGCAGGTTAGTGGGGTGGGGAGGGAATGGGGATTTTGCAGTAACCTTCCCCTGCCATGCCCACAGAACCGGTAGTAAAAATTTTTGAACCCCAGTGATTGGGGCCATGCAAGAAATGTGCGACTCAACTCTTCGACCGTGAAGGGCAACGATCTGACCATTTTTGTGACCCTATTTCAGGAGAAACGTGTTGTCGTGTCCTGCCCCGAGGACCTGTCGCGCTGCAAGCCAGCTCAGGAGGCAGGAGTCCCCATCACCAACGCGGAGTTCCTCCTGACGGGTATTCTTCAGCAGGCGGTGAACTTGGAGGCTCACCGCCTGGATGGAAGTGGGGGTCTGTCTCCTGCTTCCAGCCCCCTTGTTCCCTCTACCAGGAGCGGCAAGAAGCGGGCAGCAGCCACACGGACGGCCCCAGCTCCCGCCAGCACAGCCAAGAGACGACGCTGATTCCCCCCCGCTGTCCAGGGCAGCACTGCCTTAGCATTGTACATATGGGTTTTTTTTTTTCTCTTTAATATACCTCTGCCAATAAAAGGGGTATGAAAAGACTTGATGGTTTTGGAATGGGGCCTTAGCAGTTGGATTGAAGGAGGGAAAAAAATCCTTTCTCCACCAGGTGTGGTTTAATATTTTTTAGAAATTTTGATTTAAACCGGGGGTGGTGGGGGGAAGGCACATCCAACCCTAGCAGCTTTCAGACCTGTAGACTTCCAACTCCTAGGATTCTCTAGCCAGCCATGCTGGCTGGGGAATTCTGGGAATTGATGTCCACAGGTCTTAAAATAACCAAGATTGGACATCCTTGATTTAAATGATTTAATTTCAGAAATTTAAATGTAATGGACTTATGAAGAGTTTAGGCATCAGTGCCTTCTGATTTACAATTATAGCAACCAAAAGGTAGCCTTCCACCTCTCTTTTTCTGTTAGGGTGACCCGATGGAATCATAATAATGCCAAAATAAACAAATGTGCCCTTAAAAAAAATGGCCAGTTAGCTTGAAAGCTGCTAGTTTTGAAACAGCCTGTCGAAGATTGAATTCCAAAAAAATGGGCAGAACTGGGGAGCAATGCCTAAAAAAACAAACACAGAAGTTATTTTTTTTTATTAAAAAAGTGTTATTTGTATTTTTTTTTAAATAAAATAGGAATTGAGGTAAAAGGTAAAGGTTTCCCTGTCAGTTGTATTAGATTCTAGAGAAACCATGGACCAAATTGCTTCCTTCTTTGGATCTGAGGTAATCACTAGATTAAACCCCCGCTTCAAACATGACCTTGTTTTGATAGGGGTTTAGCCTTTTTTGTTGGGTTTCTAGTTGAGAAGCAAAAATTTCCGACACCAGGTATTAAATTAGAGCAAGGACGTAAGCTTTTCTCACCCCAAATTTTATTTCTGAAGTTCAAGAAGTCTCTGCTATCTTGGGGGTACATTCTTGAGCTCCAGCATTGGATGTTTGGTATAGAACAAAACACCTGGATCCAAAATTCTGTAAAGATACCGTTTTGACTTATTTCAGGTTTTAGTTGGGTGAATTTCATTTTCTGCCTTTCCAACCCCCTTAATAGATGCTTCAGAGCTGCAATCAGGTGTGTGTGTGTGTGTCTTTAGGATGGATTACTCAGCAACATGCAGTGAATTCTTGACTTCGTCTCCCATCAGGATGCATTGGGGAAAATATCTGGATTTTTTTCCTGTATATCAGGTGGAGTGATGGCCCTGCTAAGACTTGCGGACTTCAACTCCCAGAATTCCTGAGCCGGCATTGTTGGTCCAGGAATTCTAGGAGCTGAAATCCACAAGTCATAAAAGGGCCATCATTTCCCACCCTTGCTCTGTAGACTCAACTGGATCTGACCCATTTTTAACATTTCTTTATATCCAGCCTTTATTATTTTTACAAAGGTGTTTAATAATTTTATAAATATCAAATCTATTTTCTTGTTCCTCATCAACTGGGGTCACCAGTCCAGTTTTGGGGGAGTTAGCCTTAGGCAGGCAGACTTTGTAATTCCAAAATGGCGTTAGGTTGGAAAATATGAAAGCTAAACCAAGCAAATCTTATCAGTTTGAAGTTCTATCCCTTGTGTGAAACAACGTCTGTCTCAGGAAACTGAAGTGTGGAGATATACCATAGCCTTTTTCTTATTGAGCTGTCAAGACAATGGACAATTTGAACAACTTTGAAGGCCTCCAAAATTGCTTAGAAACTCGTAAGTTATATTTAATAATCACAGATCTGCTGACTTAAAAGTGGTCAGCAAAATAAGTTTCCATCTGCCAACCGAAGAATTATGTGTCAAATACTTCTAATGAAAAAGTAGGTATACCTGTAGTATAATATTCAAATTGTACGTTTAAAAAAAACAAAAGTCATTGGTGGAACTGGCAGAATCTGAGCATACAGCAGGTTCAGTCTTTTGTGGTTAATTTTAGTCTCTAAATGAGTATTTCTAAAATGTCCTGCCATTGTGGACTTCTAAATCATCATTTGGAAAACGTAAGGACCATCCTAGTAAAAGAAGATTGTGAAACATCAGGGTTTTTGTTCTCCAACTCTTTCATCTGCTATGGACAAAGAAGAGATCTGTGTCCCATATAACAAATAACATGTTTCTTCTGCATATTTGTACGTGCTTGAAATATCAGTGTCTTTCGTCCTGATTTTCCTTACATGCCCTTGACTGAGTAGACAGTAGAAAAAAAATTTAAACAACAAAAAATCACCAAGAACCATGCTGAAGTATAATTTATCTTTTAGTGTAATTCAGTCACCCGAAAGAAAAAGGGGGGGGGGGGCGCGGGAAGACACACAGCTTCATGAAATTGATTGATGAAAACTTACTGAGGCAGGTTAAAAAAAACCCCAGCTGTTTTATTGCTCTCAAAACGAAAGCAGTTTGGAAGACTTGTAAAAGTCTTCAACTAGATACCGGAACATTTTAATTAAACAAGCAGAACTCAATCCATTTTAATCGAAGAGGGATCTAAATCTTTTCCATTATCTACAGGACATGTAGGACGGGAGATCTACAAATAGCAAAGAGAAGTTGTCTATTTTGTGCAATGTCGCCAGTCCATTTTATCTGCCTCCATTTCTTACGTGCCCACTCACAGAATATAATAGGCACGCCTTTGTTGGGAGGCTACAATTGCAATCTTTTCAGTCATTAAGACAGATCTATCTGTGGATTGTCCTTGATTGGATAGATAATCTGGGATGTGGTAAGGTGTTTTTGATGTATTCTTGAAAGATGGAAAAGATCAGAAAGCTAAAGGCTACGACATCCACTGTAAACGAAGAGGAAGAACATTTGGAAAGCTCTGGGACATTCTAGGCCAGTGTTTCCCAACCGTGGCAACATTGAAGATGTGTGGACTTCAACTCCCAGAATTCTCTAGCCAGGCTAGAATTCACCCAGGTTCCCCATCATGCTGTATGCTTATCGTGGGAACTGATAAGAATTTAAGACAGGTTTAAAATAACTGGTCAAACGACTGCTGGTAGAATTTTTTAAAAAATTTTTTTATTTGTTGTTCATGTACAAAGAACGAATTTGCTATCTTTATCATCCTCAAACATTGGACCTTTCCTATAATCCCCACAAGGGACCCCAAAACTTAAGTTCTGTTCAGTTCAATGAACAAAGTCAACCACCGGCAATCTCATACCAACTATGCTAGACTGCTGCTCCTATCATACTATATACGGGTTATCAAACTGGGGGCAATGGTCATTGTAATCCAAACTTCCAGCAGTTTGTTGGGAAGCTCGATCCGTACCAACGTAACAGAAGTGCTATTTTTAACCTTCATGTCCCCACTTCCAACCTCTTAATAATCAGCAATAAAGTCCACAGCTCAGAGGATAAATGTTTCTGCGGCTCTGTTTCCTTCATTTGGAAATTGTCTACGCTCGAGAGTCAACACGTGAGCAGACTGTGATGAATTTTAAAACCAACCAAGCAGAAAGCATTTATCTAGCTGCGTTTTCTTTTTTAAACACGTACGAAAATATCCTGCAAGGCAATCAAGAGTGCAAAGTTTTGCATCTAAAAAGACCTACTGAAATAGTTCTTCCCGAACAGCATTTCTGTTCTTCGGGCTAAGGAATCCTGGGATCACAGTGCCGTCTGGGAGTACCTGCCCAAGAAAGGGGAAAGGAAAAATAAGGCATTTTCAGAATAAAAAAGTAACGTAAATTATGTACGACCGTATTAGTCCATTGGCCAAACCTTCCCATATGCAAGGTCTTCAAAACATGAGGTTTACTTCCACCTCTACTTAGGAAGTGTTTTTGGTAATTTTTGGCCAGAGAAACTGGGACTTGTTGGTGCATCAGGTCTGAGAAGACTTCTGTAGAAGGGACTAAGGCAGTCCTTGACTTACAACCGGTCACACACAGATTGTTCAAAGTTATGATCTACTCTGGGGGCTATTTACAACCCAGACATACAGTTCAGCGGTTGGGGAGCCCCCTGGTGGTCAGATGGTTGAAGTTCAGGTGCTCGGCAACATGACTGCATTTACGACCATTTGCACGACTGTTTTGCAAAGGTTCGGCAGAAAACTGGCACTCATTTCCGTGTTTTGACAAAAACTGAGTCCACAGCAAACCATTCATGTGTTTAACCAAAAAGGTTTGTAAAAGTGGGCCAGTCGCATGACTCACCTGTTTTACAACCATCATGGCAGTCTCCCTTATGGGTCATAAGTCAAGGACTACTTGTTCATTTTCCCATCCCATCTTATTATCTATCATCTCATGTAGGACTGAAGAGAGTAGCACAGGGTCCAGAAACCAGCAGTGCTCTTTTTATGTCTTATTCCATGTAATCTGCCTCCTTTTCTTACGTGCCTCTACATGGGAAGTAAAGGCACGCCTTTGTAGGAGGTAATTTGCAACCAAATCTCACGAATGTTATTTTCTGCTTCAAAACCTCTCACTGAACCTGCTGTTTTGTTTTGTTTTTGGCGGGAAAGGAGATTGTCTGGAGTAAAATATTATCCGCGGGTTCGAACTTGTTTCTCAAATCACTTGTGGGGAGGCCTTCTCCAAAAGGACTGGTCAGGGGGCTTTTGAATCCTTGCTTAATCTCCTTAAGTTGGCTGAAACAGACCATCTTGGCTTTTTTGAGAGTCTACTAGCTCAGTTCTGCTCTTGTTAAAACCCACTCAATGTCTTGTAGCAGGGGTCTCCAACCGACGAAACTTGAAGACTTGTGGACTTTAACTCCCAGAATTCCTCAGCTGAGGAATTCTGGGAGTTGAAATCCACAAGTCTTCAAGTTGCCAAGGTTGGAAACCCCTGTTTTATAGCACGAAAGAACTCCAACTTTCAAACAGTATTTAAGTTCAACATCACCCTAAGCCCTGGTTTGTTGTACCCATCGTTTGTGAGATAAGCCACCAAGACAGAATTCACACATAGCACCAACATACTTTGAATTGTGCCTGCCATCTGGAACATCCCCTCGGAAATGAGGTCAGCTCCAACCCTCCTATGCAAGAGCTTAAAGAGACCTGGCTCTGCCAGTTGACTTGGGTGTGGTCTACCTTCTCATCATATTCCCTCCCTCCCACCTCTTTTAGCTAGGTTGATTTTATAGTATTTATAGCAATAGCATTTAGACATATAGATACCGCTTCACAGTGCTTTTACAGCCCTCTCTAAGCAAGCTTGCAGATTCAGCCTATTGCCCCTAACAATCTGGGTCCTTATTTTACTGACCCCGGAAGGATGGAAGGCTGAGTCAACCATGAGCCTGGTGACACTTGAACTGCCAAACTGCTGGCAATTAGCATAATTAGCCTTCAATACCGCATTCTGACCACTGCACCACCACAGCTGTTATTTATAATATTGTATTTATTATATTATTATAAAAATTAACACGGTATTATCTTTTACTATTGTAAGCTGCCCAGACTTATCCCATGGGCAGCTAATGATTTTTACAAATACATGGAAGTGTGAATCCAATCAGGGATCATCAAATTCTACAGGTAGTCCTCGACTTACGACTGCAACTGAGCCCAAAATTTATCTTAATCGAAACATTTGTTACGTGTCATTTTGCCCCATTTTATGACCTTTCTTGAAACAACTCTTAAGCGAATCACTGCA